CAGTCTCATAGAAGACCATGTTATTTACTTCCCCTTTGGTGACGCCTTCACGTGTATACAGCTTTATAAAAGGAACGTACAAGAACTGAAACTTGTTTACAGAGGGGAAAATGCAAGTATTAAAAAAATACTATTTCGGCCGGCTTAACTTCCTGCCGAGTATATGTTTACAATCAGGGATTTTTCCCTGCCTTTGTCATTGAAAACCGTCATGCATTAATAAGCTTGGAGTTCAGTTTGAAAAAGAATTTATTCGCTGGCTCTTGTCATGAAAATAGCCGGTCGGCTGCATTTATCGCACTGACTTCTATACTACTAGCTGGTCGCACCTTTCTCCAGTAAACGATTAGAATTTATTTTTGAGCTATTCACGGTGCCGGTGCCTGTTATATTAATATGAAGCTTCAGAACAATAAAAATTACTAACCACAGAATCACAATATTCCAATTATTTTTTCCACTGTCGCCTGCTCAGGCAAGTTAAGGCATGGGTTGAAAGGCTAAAAGACCCCAACAGAGAATGCAAAGATCTACGCAGCAGAAGAATTCAAACAAAGGGTTCCACAAAGATATGATAAAATAAATCTCACTAAAATAGTTTTGGAAAATTCATCCCAAGCGTCACGTGATATTCCTTGGACCATGACATCACAAAATCTGTGTTCTTAAACGGGGCAAGGCTGTTAAACTTCAGGCTAAAAATACTGTCAGCCAAACTGTCTGGATTGTCAATTATAGCCTTGCTGGGTTGATAAAAGTATTTTTATTAAGAGTTATTATTAAAGTCTTTTATAAGTCACCTGACCTGTTTTGCTCTACTTAGGTATACATGCAGGGCTATTTCACAATATTCAGGCCATAGGTAAAACACTGGTGCCTAAGAATATGGGCTGCTCTTTAATTTCCTTTCCCTTTTTAATTTGAACATTTTGACCTTTAACAATCATTTGCAGGTCACGTGACTAATATTTCAGCAATGAATTTATTCGTCACATAATTTTGTTAAGGCTACCGAGCTAAAACTGTTTGACAAGTTTCATGACGACTGATCCAAATGCCACTTCGCCAAATTATGCAAATTATATTGAGGTGACCTTCATAAAAATCACATTAGTTTATGCGATTGAAGGTTTTGCCCTAGTTGTCCGTTTGTTAGTAAGATAGGATGGGACATACTACTTGCATTGTAGTCTGGTCCATGTCATGGAATGTTGGCATTGCAGCGAACAAAGGAAGTTCTTGGCTACTGAAATTGGCTTCTAGACTTGGATAGATGAGGCCAGGGTAAAGGGAAAATGAAATCAATGGATAAATTGATCTTATTAGACATCGCACTGTACTTCAACACCTCCTTCCGTTTAAAGGAGTTAAAGCAACAAATGCGGGTACAGAAATTGACTTGGCAAGTGTAAAAAACAAAAGCATGCCTTACAGAACTAAAACTCACTCCTGGATATTTCTAAGTTCACGTATATCAATTGCTCCTCGGGAAGATTCCCATATACCTTCTAATTATTCAAGCAGTTGAATTATCTGCCAAACCAACAGTGATGCAGCAGTTTTTGAAAATATGCATCATAATGCAAAAACGTTTCATAGTGGTGTTGAATTCTAGGTTTGTGTAGGTAACAAATGCGAGTACAGAAATTGACTTGGAAAGTGTAAAAAACAAAAGCATGCCTTACAGAACAAAAACTCACTGCTGGACAGTATCTCTAATTCCCCGTTTGCTCCTTGGGAAGATTCCCAAATACCTTCTAATTATTCAAGCAGTTGAATTATCTGCCAAACCAATAGTGATGTAGCAGTTTTTGAAATGCATCATAATCGGACTTCTTCGCAAAAACGTTTCATAGTGGTGTTGAATTCTAGGTTTGTGTAGGTGAGAGAGAACTAAAACAAGGCTGCAAAAACTCTTATTACAAGGTTCAGTACAGTTGGGCAAATAAGATAAGTCTGCATTCAGGATTCTCTTTGGAGAAATGGGTGCCTTATTACTCCAACTGCAATTAATGTAATGTTATGCAGGCTTTCCCTGAGGAATGAGCCAAATAATAGTAAATACTCTTAGCTGCACTGGATTTTTCTTCAGAAAATAAGAACCCATTTAAGAATAATAGAGTGTTTTCACTCACTTGTTTATTGGAACAGAAGAAAGCGTTTGCATAAGAAAAGAGTTCAACTCCCAGGGGATTGGTTTAGGACACCAACATGGCCACCGTTTCATTGTTTTGGGACACCAATATGGCCACCGTGACGTCATGTGAAAACACTCTATACCCTAAATTTGTGCTAAGGGACTTATCAGAAATTAGTAGGGGGGGGGGGGGGGGAAACAGAGGGAGGGTCACAACTTTTTGAGACTGCAGAAAAGGGAGGGGTCATGAAAAATGGGCCGTTAAAAGGGGGAGGGTCATGCAAATATGTGTCCGTGATCATGTAGAGGTTCACCCACAGAAGAAAAGAGAAGTTCTTTATTTTGTTAAAAAAACCTGGGAGAAATAGGAGAGTTGAGTGATCAGCTGTCAGAATCAGAGCCGAACTCTTAATGCTGTCATCTAAAATGTACGTATATATGGCATTACAAAGGACAGATTAGAAATATATTTTGAGCTTTCATAATACTGACTCACCCTAGTGTATTGCAAGAACTAGATTTTATCATTTATACAAGAGGGGGAGGGTTATGATATTTTAGGCCAAGGTCAAGGGGAGGGTTAGCAAATTTCACTCCCTTTGCAGGGATGGGTGACCTCATTTCCGAACCCAAATTTAAAATTCCCATCCCCCCTCCCCCCTACTAATTTCTGACAAGTCCCTAATTACCCATTTATGTAAGAACCTAATTCAGAAAATGCAGGTTCTTAGTCGCAGGGTACTCCTGTTTGGCAGTACTTGTATTGATCAAAGGTAATAGAAGATTGGCTGTTGGGGAACAGACCTCTTTAGCTTGTATATCTTTTATTTCTCAAAGTAGGTCATGTGATAATACTCTTAAGAACTTTACCTTTCAAGTTTTGTCTTATTCCGTGCATATGGAAATAATTTATAAAAAGACAAAGGGGCAAATTCCCCTGAGGCCCTCATTGGGAAAACAAAATGACCTCAACCAGGTTGTGGTGTCCAGCGGTTTTAGCGAAAACAAGGGTTTGTGTTGGGTGCTCAGTCTCTCGAGCTCTTAAAAGGTGGTCTTGCACATTCTTATTGAGGGATTTTCGAAAAAAAAGGCCATTTGCGAGTTCCAAAAAAATGTCACTTTCAAAGCGAGGCTAAGTGCAAAACATTTGTTAACTGAAAAATGAGTTTTCTTCGCATGACGTACAAAAAGTCATTTTCATATCAATAGCTTTGCACCCTCGTTTTGAAACAGAGGCTTAACCGCGTATCCCCAATAAGATCCCAGAAACTATTGTCGGGAAATACAATGCCAACACAGTCTCACGCTCATAACAAGCCCCGACTAGCCAACGGAACGTTTTCATATGACGTCACGTGACTCAAGTCCGCTATATATGGTTGCGTTTGATTGGGAAATCCGGAATCGAACGCAAAATCGGAAAATGGATTTCACCTCCGAGAAATCCGTCCTCAGGGTAGATTTCAATTAAGAAATCCAAATCCGGATTTCAAGGATTTCCTTTTTAGCGGAGCTCTCGCGCGCGAAGCGCGCGCAGCGGAACACCATAGGTAAGAAAATGTGGTAAAGTAGCCATCCGAGAAAATTTGGTAATCCCGTGACCGTACACCGACCGACCGCCTGCCCGTCCGTCCGCACCACAGGCAAACCAATGTAAAACAGCTCAATCAACAGGTATCGCAACCCAAATGCAACTCGAGGTTATTTTGACGGGAAGTCGCATAGCCACCCGCGTCTTGTGAAGCAGAGACAACTAAGGAGACAATGAAGACGAAAACAGAAAGAGAAAATTGTCTCTGTATCCTTTTTTTCTAAAGTATTAAGCTTAGATTAATTGTAATGTCCACAAATTTGGAATATAGAGCAAGAGAAAGACCGAGAAAAAGAGAAAGTACGCGGCAGGCCAGCGAAACTCAACGAGAAAAAGGGCGACAGAGATCTAGAGCGAGAGATAAAAAACAAAGGAGGCATTTTTTTGTTGGAAGAACAACATGAAAATTTCGTAGCGGCGGTAACAAAATGAGAAATGCTAGCGGCCACCAATGCAAGGTGAAAAAAACGTGCGACATTTCCTCCACAAAACGTCTAACTAAGAAGTTTCTGGAAGTTTCACGTTGTACTCGTGCAAAACAACGGCAAAGAAATGTACAAAAAAAGTGTACTGCACGTGCAAAGTTGCCTTTTTGCTAATTAGACCTATCGTTTTTCATCGTTCTCTGACGTTGCCTTCGCCGCTTAGCATTACACAATTTTATATTTTGTTTGAGCAAACTATAAATATTATCGAGAGCTTCGCTTTTAGCCCTGGCTAAATCTATATATTACCGTTCGATTGGGAAATCCGAAAAAGGATTTGCAGAACTATTCTCGTGAACAGCGGTCTTCTTTTTGCTAATTATGCGTGCGCGTGCAAGAAACCGCTGTTCTTAAGGACAGTTTTTCAAATCCTTTTTCGGATTTCCCATTCGAACGGTAAAAAGGAAATCCAAAAACAGATATCTCAGTGTTTAAATCCGTTTTCGGATTTCGCGTTCGATTACAAATCCGAAATCCAGACTTCCCAATCGAACGCACCCTTTGTGTCCCAGAACAATGAAACGACGGCCATTTTGGTGTACCAAACCATTCCGGTGGGAGATGAACATTTTTGCCATTTAAAACTTTCTTTTGTTCCAATAAATTTGCATATCTGATGGCCACGTGATTAAAATGCTCCACATGAAAAGTGCTCGTCCCTTTTGCGGGAGCTCCCTTTGGAAATTTGGAGGGGCTTTTTCATCCAATCAGGGCACAGCAAATTTGAGAAAGGATTATTGTTATTGCAAAATGTCATAATAAAGAGTATTTATTTACACATAGTAGTGCCCAAATCTGCATTTAAATTGCGCCAATCTTCAGCAAGTAGAGGAAGAAAATTTTACACTTAAACAGGTGAGACAATCTAGTTTTATGAACTCACTCTCTAAACTTATGGCTTACTCTTACGGCAGTTCAAGACTCGCTCATTTGTTTTTAGAGTAGGAGTAGTGTCAACTTCCGGTCTCGCGTCATTTTTTCCACTTGGAAAAATGATTTTAATAATTTTTAGCAGCAAATAACTGCAACGATTTGTTAAGTAACGATTTTCGTTCCAGAAAACGGCATTCGCTTCGATCAACGCGACCCAAATTTTAGTGACCGTTTGGAGTTCATGAACATAAATTGTAGTCACAACAACACGGCGAACCAGACCACCTTCAGTCTCCTAGAAGACCTTCCAGTTGGATGTTATTTACTTCCCTTTAGGTGACGTCTTCACGTTTATATAGCTTATAACAGGAACGAACAAGAACTGAAACTTGTTTACAGAAAGAAAAAAAAAACGATTTCGGCCGGCTTAACTTTCTGCCAAGTTTATGTTTACAATCAGGGTTTTTTCCCTGCCTCGACCTGCCTTTGTCATTGAAATCCGTGTCTGCCTGTTTTAATGATGTATTGTTAAGTTGGGTCTTGGTTCATTCATTAAGCTTGAAGTTAAGTTTGAAAAGGAATTTATCCTTTTCTATTGACGGTGTCGGTGCCCGTTATATTTATATCAAGCGTTCTGGAGATTCTTTTTTGTCTATTAATGCACGCGACTGCTTTAGGCTTCGCTTTAAAGTGAAGGAATGCGTGGATACAGCTCTGTAGCCTGGGGGGGAGTACTCCCAATAATGGCCTATACGGGGAGGCTCCGCCCGACAGGGGCATCTTTTTCAGGCTTCAGGTATAGTCAAACCCCGTTAATTCCGAACACTAAGGGGGCCATAGAAAGTGTCCGTATTAAGTGGGTTGAATTTAGAGAAAATGTAAGGGCTTTCTTCTCCCCCAGGGACAAAGCAAACTGCCGTCCGTAACAATGAGGTGTAAAGCGGGGCAGGACTGTATATAAAAGGGTAGTGATTTCACTAGTTGAACTATATATGAAAGAGTAGGGAAATATGGCATTTCGATATGTAAAAAGGCCCACAATTAAAAGTCTAACAGATGCATTTTTTGGCTGTAAAAAAGTCGAGAAAACGTTCTGGTTTTGTGATGTATTCATATTTCAAAGACAGTGCAGCAGTTAGGGATGCAAAGTTCTAAACCAGGTATGTGAAACGGGTACCATTTGTCAATAGAAGGTATACGAAAGGGGCACCTTTTCGGTCTAAATTGGTATATAAAAGGGTAAGGGGTTGGATCTCGGGGTTGAGCCTCCTAGTGTAAAACTTTCGTGAGTACCCCCCGGGCTCTGTAGCCGTCAACACGATTTAGGGTAGTTAAGGAAAAAGCTTCAGAACAATAACAATTACTAGACCACAGAATCACAATATTCCAATTATTGTTTCCAATGTTGCCTGCTCAGGCAAGTTAAGGCACGGGCTGAAAGGCTAAAAAGACCCCCCACAGAGAATGCAAAGATCTTTTTAATGACGCAGAAGAATGAAAGTTAAGGTTTCCACATAAATCTCACTAAAATAGTTTTGGAAAATTCATCCCAAGCATCACATGATATTCCTTGGACCATGACGTCACAAAATCTGTTTTCTCAAACGGGGCAAGGCTGTTAAACTTCAGGTTAAAAATGCTTGTCATCAAATTGTCAGCCAAACTGTCTGGATTGTCAATTAGCCTTGCTGGGTTGGTAAAAGTATTTTTGTTAAGAGTTATTAAAGTCTTTTATAAGTCACCTGACCTGTTTTTCTTTATTTCGTAATCATTGCCCTACTTAGACATTCATGCAAGGCTATTTCATAATATGCAGGCCATAGGTAAAACACTGGTTCCTAAGAATATGTGCTGCTCTTTCATTTCCTTTCCCCCGTTTGAATTTGAACATTTTGACCGTTAACGATCTTTTGCAGGTCACGTGACTGATATTTGAACAATGAATATGTCACATATTGTTAAGGCTACCAAGCTAAATTTCATGACGACTGATCAAAACAATCCGTTTCAAATGCCACTTCGCCAAATTATACACATTATGAGGTGACTCATGCCTTAAAATGCCTAAGTGATAATTAATTTTCATAAAAATCACATTAGTTTATGCGATTGAAGGTTTTGCCCTAGTTATCCGTTTGTTGGTAAGACAGGATAGGACGCACTACTTGTAGTCTCATCCATGTCATGGAATGTTCGCGTTGCAGCGAACAAAGGAAGTTCTTGGCTACCGATATTGGCTACTGGCTCTTGTCATGAAGATAGCCGGTCGGCTGCATTTATCGGACTGACTTCTATACTAGCTGGTCATACCTTTCTCTTAGAATTTATTTCTGAGCTATTGACGGTGTCGGTGCCCGTTATATTTATATCAAGCGTTCTTGGAATTCTGTTTTTCTCTAGTAATGCACCCGACTGCTTTAGGCTACGCTTTAAAGTGAAGGAATGCGTGGATACAGCTCTATAGCCCAGGAAGAGGGGGGGGGGAGTACTCCCTATAATGGCCTAAACGGGGAGGCTCCGTCCGAAAGGGGTATCTTTTATAGTCAAAGCCCGTTAATTCCGGACACTGAGGGGGTCATAGAAAGTGTCCGTATTAAGTGGGTTGGATTAAGAGAAAATGTAAGGGCTTTCTTTTCCCCAGGGACAAAGCAAACTGCCGTCCGTAACAATGAGGTGTAAAGCGGGGTTTGACTGTATAAAAGAGGGTAGTGATTTCACTAGTTGAAGTATATATGAAAGGGTAGGGAAATATGGCATTTCCATCTGTAAAAAGGCCCACAATTAAAGGGATATTAAACAGATGCGTTCTGGTTTTGTGATGTATTCATTTTTCAAAGACAGTACATTTACAGCAGTTAAGAATGCAAAGTTCTAAACCAGGTATGTGAAACGGGTACCATTTGTCAATAGAAGGTATACGAAAGGGGCACCTTTTCGCTCAAAATTGGTATATAAAAGGGTAAGGGGTTGGATCTCGGGGTTGAGCCTCCTAGTGTAAAACTTTCGTGAGTACCCCCGGGCTCTGTAGCCGTCAACACGATTTAGGGTCGTTAAGGAAAAAGCTTCAGAACAATCAAAGTTACTAGACCACAGAATCACAATATTCCAATTATTGTTTCCAGTGTTGCCTACTCAGGCAAGTTAAAATATCTGTACCGGCAAATTTTCAACATTTAGTTTCGGCCTCAAAATCTTTCTACAGTAAGTTCAGTTGATGTAATATGTATATCTGTTTTTTTTTTCGAATATACCTTCGCGGAGTAAATCTACTCAAAAGTTGACCGATTTACCGGAAGTTAGAGAACAATTTTCATTTCCCTTACTAAGAAAAAAGACTGCAGGAGACACCAGGACCGCAATTTGACTCCCCTTTTCAGCATCAATTTAGATTGATGCGTTCAACAAAATTTATTCACTGCTTGGATTCATTGACAAACTACAGCCGCTGTATGTTCTTGAATTTGATTTTTCTTGCTTCTGTTCAAGCTGTGATGACTAATATTACTTGCTTCTAGTCAAAATACGTTTCGTTCTTACTCCCTTTTCCAGTACTTATTATTGTATAAAATTTATATCATATCGGCGTGTCTTCTCACCTGATATATTCCGACAATTTTGCGGGGAGAGTAAACGTTCTCTCGGTCCTAATCCTCTGGTCTGTTTTTCTGCCGATTTCTTTCTCTTTACAGAAGAATGCAAAGCTCTAAACCAGGTATGTGAAACGGGTACCATTTGTCAATAGAAGGTATACGAAAGGGGCACCTTTTCGCTCAAAATTGGTATATAAAAGGGTAAGGGGTTGGATCTCTGGGTTGAGCCTCCTTGCGTAAAACTTTCGTGACTAGCTACCCCCGGGCTCTGTAGCCGTCAACACGATTTAGGGTCGTTAAGGAAAAAGCTTCAGAACAATAAAAGTTACTAGACCACAGAATCACAATATTCCAATTATTGTTTCCAGTGTTGCCTACTCAGGCAAGTTAATATCTGCACCGGCAAATTTTCAACATTTCATTTCGGCCTCAAAATCTTTCTACAGTAAGTTCAGATGATGTAATATGTATATCTGTTTTTTTTTTTCGAATATACCTTCGCGGAGTAAATCTACTCAAAAGTTGACCGGTTTACCGGAAGTCAGAGAACAGTTTTCATTTCCCTTGCTAAGAAAAAAGACTGCAGGAGACACCAGGAGCGCAATTTGACTCCCCTTTTCAGCATCAATTTAGATTGATGCGCTCAACAAAATTTATTCACTGCTTGGATTCAATGACAAACTGCAGCCGCTGTATGTCCTTGAATTTGATTTTTCTTGCTTCTGTTCAAGCTGTGATGACTAATATTACTTGCTTCTAGTCAAAATACGTTTCGTTCTTACTCCCTTTTCCAGGACTTATTATTGTATAAAATTTATATCATATCGGCGTGTCTTCTCACCTGATATATTCCGACAATTTTGCGGGGAGAGTAAAACGTTCTCTCGGTCCTAATCCTCTGGTCTGTTTTTCTGCCGATTTCTTTCTCTTTACAGAAGAATGCAAAGCTCTAAACCAAGTATGTGAAACGGGTACAATTTGTCAATAGAAGGTATACGAAAGGGGCACCTTTTCGCTTAAAATTGGTATATAAAAGGGTAAGGGGTTGGATCTCTGGGTTGAGCCTCCTTGCGTAAAACTTTCGTGACTAGCTACCCCCGGGCTCTGTAGCCGTCAACACGATTTAGGGTCGTTTAGGGAAAAGCTTCAGAACAATAAAAATTACTAGACCACAGAATCACAATATTCCAACTATTTTTTCCAGTGTTGTTAAGGCATGGGTTGAAAGGCTAAAAAGACCTCCCACAGAGAATGCAAAGATCTTTTAGTTTTTAATGACGCAGAAGAATCCAAGAAAAGGGTCCCACAAAGATATTTAACAATTATTCCTCGAGCCCGAATGGGCTCTGAGGCAATAGCCCATGAGGCCGAACGCCGAATGGGCTATTTACTTAGAGGCCAAACGGGGCAAGGCTGTTAAACTTCAGGCTAACTTTGAATGCTTGTCATCAAATTGTCAGCCAAACTGTCTGGATTGTCAATCAACCCTGCTGTCAGTTGTTTTAAATGGGGAAGGGGAGGGGGGAATTCGTGCATCCGAAAACCCCCTTTCCTTTTTGATACCTGTCACACAGGCTAAGTCCCCCCGGATCCTATTCAACTAGCCTGCGTCACAGACCTAATCTAACCCCGGTTAGAAATGTCTGAGAAGCAGTGCCGATATCCTTGTTTTGGGTCCCCATTGGACTCCGGAATTGAATTACCGGAAATGTGTGTCAAATTTCCTTCAACCTGATTGGCAAATTGAGAATGGCTTTTTTAACAGGCCAATCATGGCACATACTCAAATCCTGGTAAGGTGGGGCCCCAGAACAAGAACTTCAGCGTTGCTTCGCAGACGGACTTAACCAGAAGTTAAGTCAGTTCCATCTGTGGCGCAGGCTATATTCAACTTGTTTCCTGGGATTATTGTAATACAGTTGACTCCCGATAACTCGAACCTCGCCCTAGCTGGAACCAATGATTTCCTTCATACATTTAGTCAGGGTTGAAAATTAAATCACGGCTTTTAGCCTGAATCTTTAGGCTTTTTTGTCAAGCCTTATTGTTTCCCCGGCTATCAATAATGAATAGGTTTGCTTTGTACGTGTTCAGCATGTTCGCGAGCGACGAGGAGCTTCGTCGGCCACAGGCCGACACGTCTTCGGCCGAAGGGCGAAGACACGAACGGCGAAGCCGCGAGAAAAACCTCTGGTGCAGAGCGCCCTGTTTTACCGTGCTAGATGGACCTTGACCTTGTCTCTAATCTGTCAATCAAACCGGCGGTCGCAAGACTGATTTTTAATAGCTAATTTAAAAGTAATTACCAAGGGAGGAACGACGCGCTCTAGCCTAAAGAGCGACATCAACTTTAGAAAAACAAGCTGGAGTTTAAAAATCATTGCTAATCTTGTCACAGTTCAGTTATCCATATTTTATGTAGCTTTAGTTTAAGCTGCAATCCGTTCTTCGAAATTTGGATCTGTAAATCACTAAGGAGAATTTTTAAACATGCATCCTCCAAAAATTACTAACGAGCTAAGCCTTGCGTGACAGAACATTGCAGGAAATCTCTCACCTTCACATTCACGGACAAAAGAAAATCACTCTTAGTTATTCAGATCCAGGAGGCACTTTGGACAAAATTTAAAAACAACCTAAAAGTTTACTTAGCCGCAATGAAGAAGTTTACGTTTCAAAAGAGGTCAAAGTAAATGCTGTCGACTCGCATCAGAAGGCAAATCATTCCGACCAGAAATGAACTGCAGAAAATCAATATGCGGCGTGCCAGGACCTCTCAGTTAGCCTGTTCCAGGCTTTCAGATAGTGGGGAAGACGCGAAAGTGTAGGGCGCGCGAAAATGGTGGCGGGCGGGAAAAAAAGGAAAAGGAAGGAAGGGAGAGAGAGCTCCGCCGCCTCCCCCTCTCTCCAGTTTCCTCCCGTCTTTTTTCTTATTCGCGCTTTCTCAATTCCGCGGGCCCGACTATCTCGGAGCCTGGAACAGGCTACCTCTCAGTATGAAACAGGAGGCAAAAATAATGCGCATTTGCTCAGTCATAATCTACCCGCTAGAGAAAAAATTCATTTGAACAAGCAGCCTTTTGGGAGGAGGTAAAAGTCGTGTGTTGCCTGCCGACCCCCTTTTTACACACTGAATCATGCCAGGTAGTAACTGGAACAGCAGTGATTTTCCATCTAGGTCATCTAGCCGGTCGGCAGGACCGCCAATATGTCTTTCCTTACAATGCCCTCTCTTAGTAACGCAATTATTTCCTCCACTCCCTCGAATGTTCCAGTGACTTCGGCTATTGCCTTATCTAAATCTTTTGTTGGTACAGGCATCTGATATTTCCTATTCTCTTCCAAAAAGCGAAAACGTACGTGATGTGTGCTTGAATTGTTTTGATTTGATCTGCCACCTTCAAACACCCGCGTCCGGAGCACGCGCCTATTGTGATTATAATCCAATCAGAGCATTTGAAACATTCGATATCTCCAAGGATCCAATCAGCAAAACATCCAGGATGTTTTGGTGTACGTAGGGTTGTAATTGGCTCGGCGCTATGAAAGGAATGGCGCTCTGGTCCAGAGGCTTTTCGCGCGGGTCACTTTTTAAGACTTGACCGAAACCGGAAACCGCGCATGAAAAGCCTCTGGAACCCAGGGTAGTTAAGCAACGGCTGATGATTTCAAATTCTTGGAACCTCTAATGAACACATTTCTTACTGGTAATTTCGTCGCCCACTATTTGCAAATCCCGGCATGTTAGAATCATACGGAAAGAATCATTTGGGAGATATTTGTTTGTCTTTTTCCAGCTTTTGTATGTAGATGTTTTCACCGACATCACTGATTCATGTGTGATGAAAAAGGCACGTTCCATGAATCACTTTTTTCACAGTTCCGCGATCTCTGTGTGTGTACAGCTGTTTCGAGAAAGGTTGTCGGAAGAAATGCGCACGCGACAATCCCGAAATGTAATATGGGATATGATCAATAAACTGTTCGTAACGACTGAAGCTGTCGAACCTACTGTTGTTGCTTTCCTTTAGTACTCACAAACATATGTCCGTGGCCTCCCGTACCATTCTTTCAAATTTCTCTGAAGAAAAGTGCCCTCAAAGCCACCCACAATACCTTTCGGGATTGTCGCGTACACTTTTACCGACAACCTTTCTCGAAATAGCTGTATACTAATTAACGGAATCTGCCTAGCGCCTGACAAAAATCTTTTTGAACTGAAATTTCACTTTCTTCCTCGAGAAACTTTGAAAATATAAAGTGATTTTAAAAGGATTTCGCCCACAACTTTTACGTTTCACACTTGAACAAACGCATAAAAGAATTAGTCGTCCATGGTGAACAAGAATTCTCTTTTCTCTCTTTTTTTCTTTTGCGGTACACTTTATGGTGTTTCGATACAGTTTTTCAGAGGTCATACCGATATTAGTTTCAATCGCTTTGAAAGTGGTTTTTTCCTCTTCCGATCGCTATAAAATTTTCACCATCGATTGGCTTTAATTAGACTGAAATTTGTCAAAATGTGGTTTTAAGTAAAATCGATATTACTATGACAACAATAAACAAAAAACTTTGAAATTGATAAAAGCTGAATTTTGTATGATCTAGGCCAACTACTGAAAATACAATACTAGGAACTTAAAGTTTGGTGTTTAACAAACAGTCTCCGTAAGAAGTATAAAATTCTGTATGTTTGAATTCGACTAAAACAAAAATATATTTCAAACCTTAAATTTTCAATAGCCGTGATAGATTATTTAATAAAAACGTTATAAATGACTCAAATTATTCTTAACTAGTGTCAGAATGCTGCTTAATATCATATTTTGATGCTAGGAAATTTTGGTGTATTTTCGTTCTTGCGATCTAAAAAACTAACCCGTTTTCTCACCACCTATCTAAGTGCAACTTCATTCAAAATTTGGACTTTTTGCGCTTTTTTGTATATCTCTGAAACGACTCGAACGAATTTTTTAAAATCTCTTCACATAATCTTCATAATGTATACAATAAGGTCTGAAACTTTCATTGAGATTGATTTACTGTAAGACAAACCTAACCTACGAACCTGTCAAAAATCTGCGTTAGAACATCGACTGTTTTGACGTTATGCTAATTTTTCCAAAATAATGCGCACTATACATACTTCCATGACTAGTACATTTTAGTTTGAATTTATAGCATCTTTTGAATATAAAACATTGACAATACTCACACTGAAATGTACTAGTCATGGATATATGTATTGTCCGCATTAATTTGGAAAAATTAGCGTAACGTCAAAACAGTAAATGTTGTAGCGCAGATTTGTGACCGGTTCGTAGGATAGGTTTGTCTTGACATTTCAAGGTGTTTAATGCAGTGAATCAATCTTAATGAAAGTTTCAGACATTATTATATACATTATGAAGATTATGTGAAGAGATTTTGAAAAAAATTCGTTCGAGTCGTTTCAGGTGGTTAGAAAACGGGTTAGTTTTTAAGATCGCAAGAACGAAAATACACCAAAATTTCCTAGCATCAAAATATGATATTAAGCAGCATTCTGACGCTAGTTAAGAATAATTTGAGTCATTTATAACGTTTTTATTAAATAATCTATCACGGCTATTGAAAATTTAAGGTTTGAAATATATTTTTGTTTTAGTCGAATTGAAACATACAGAATTTTATACTTCTTACGGAGGTTGTTTGCTAAACACCAAACTTTAAGTTCGTAGTGTTGTATTTTCAGTAGCTGGTCTAGATCGCGCAAAATTAGGCGTTTATCTGTTTCAAAGCTTTTTGTTTATTGTTGTCATAGTAATATCGATTTTACTTAAACCTACTCTTTAAGAAATTTCAATCAATAGTCAATCATTGGTGAAAATTTTATAGCGATCAGACAAGGATAAAATCACTTTTAAAGCGATTGAAAAATATCGGTATGGCCTCTAAAAAAGTTTTTAAAATGTTTGTTAGCTGCTCTATTGTCTGACATGAAATGTTTACAACAGCATTACAGTGACTTACATTTCAATGGGCCAATCAAAACATCGGCTGCCACGACCGGCAGCAAGCTGCTAATTTGGAACCCAGTTTACTGTAATAATTTTTACCCTTGGTGACTAGAACCCTCGATAGCTCTAATCTCCCTTTAACTCAAGTAATCATGTCTTCTTTCCCTGTAGATCATTTCTATATAATCTCACCCTTGATAATTCGAACCATGTTTTGAGTGTGCAACAAGTCAGAATAAAAAACAGTGTGCTGAAGTCTGCAACATTGTCAGACTTTATATCACAGAAACAACCGTGTCAGTTCTTTGTCTTTTCTTTAATGTCACTCCACTTCAAATTCAGTATTCATCCCTCTATATTAATCAAGCTTTGTTGTATAATTCTTTTATCAATCTATATATCTTGCTGCCCTCAAAGTGAAGTGTGCATGATACTTGTATTCCGGACGTAGTTAATCAATAAACTGATAATCCATAGAGATCGATATCAATCATCGATGAACATCCATTTCCAACATCAATTGATCAATAGAAATCGATAAAGAAAAAAAGTTGTGGCTTCGATTAATATCGATTTCCGATAGAAATCGATAATGAGTTTTTATCGATTGTTATCGATTACTATCGATTAATATTAGAAAAGACTTAAGTCATTATTCGGTAGAAGTTCAACATTAACACAATGTTGTCTGTAGCGTATTATTGAGTCATTCAGTCCTGACATTATGCAGTTCTTTTAATTGATAAAATACTAAAAGAACAAAACACTAACAGGAACAAATTGCTCTTTGTTTGTAGTTTTTAGCTTAAGTACAGTTCATAATAAGGAAAGAAATATTAATGCAAAAGTGGCAAAAAGTGCTGTAGCAACTCCATAAATATGGAGCATGATAAACCCAGATAATAAATAATGGTAACTGAGCGAGCGAGATTTGGGAATAAATCACACTGTTGAGAGCCAATCAGATTGCACGGATCGCCACAACCTAGTGATTTCAAGGTGGATGCAATTAATAATGGTAATTGAACTGAGTGGAGTGCAATTGGGTCTGAAATAATACGAGTGACTTCAAAATCGGATGAGCGCGCAGTACCAGTTCGATTTGAAATCACAAGTATGATTTCAGACCAAAATTGCACGACACGAAGTTCAATTACCTACTGCCATTTTGAAATCTCAGAATTCAGGCAGTACCAATATATATTTTACTGACCAAGAAGCCAGTTTGTTGAAAAGCGGAAACAGAAAGGCTTTTACATCTCGTTTTGTATTCGAAACAGAAATGATGCGACATAGAGCAAAAATAGTGCGATTTAAAACAGAAATGATGCGATTTAAAACATGAATGACGCGATTTAGAACAGGTTATTTGTGAATTAATCACATTGCTGAGAGCCAATAAGATTGCAGGGATCACCAGTGATTTCAAAATGGATATAATAAAATCGATTAATATCGATGATGTAGATTGATTTCGGATGTCGATTTTTATCGATTAACTTCGTCTGGTTGTATTCCTTCCCCATCCATTTCCTTATTTCCGGTTATTTGCTTCGAACTCCCGATAACTCGCACCTTTTTCGATTTCCCTAGAAGGTTCAAGTTATCGAGAGTCAACTGAATTTCAAATGCACAAATCCTTAAGAAGGAGACTGCTCTAGCTGTGGGCTTTGAAAGTTGACCAAACTTTCAAACTTAGGATAATTGTCAAAAGTATTTTTTTTTACCCCGGCCCAAACCATCTCTCCCGGCGGCATTTAAAATTTTGCAAAAATAACAACTCCAAAAGAAAACCTACCGTAGAAAGGAAGTAGATCATAGTGTCAAGGGTTAAACTCTGCAGAACTGTGGTAATGTTAAGTGCAGATTCTCTTCTCGTCTGTTTGGGTAAATTGCCCACAACGAAAAAACATTCATAGAAGTCAAACTTATGTCACCACGACTAACACACAAGATGCACTCCACGTAAACTTGTACGTCTTGGCCTCGTTTTCAATAGTTTGGCGAGTATTTTCCCTTGTCTGCTTTGATACAATGGATGTACCATGGGATCTCGCCCTAAAGTACTAAATTTACAATAATTCACAACGAATTACTTGCCGTACTCTACACAAGCAGAACTGGTTACACTTCATTATTTCCAATCATTTAGTGTAGTGCGTATGTGCGAGAACAATATCTTTGCCAGTACTTTTAATATATATATTGGTCTCACATAAAACTCATTTCCCATAAAGTAGGACATTGGGTTTCGATGATCCTTGACTCTGCTTGACTCCCGGGGGGTGGTACTACCATATATGGGCTATATAGGTATTTGCCGCTGTGAAGGGTATGGTTTTCAAGCAGTTTACTCTAGGATAGGATGCAAAAATCAGAGCGTTGGGGCCTAGAATAGGGCATCATTTTTCAGGACACTGATCAGTTGGCTGAAGGTTTTATCTAGACTAGGGATTGTGGTATGAGGTTTTGTTTTGGCTAGACTGTGCTAGTGACCTCAGTAGTTTCTGGAAAACAGCTACTCTAGGATAGGGGGGATTTGGGGAGTTTACTCTAGTATAGGGTAGCAAATTCAGCTGAACTAGCTCTGGTCTAGGTTAAGGGTTCCAGGATCCCAGCGGCACATCCCCACCCAGAAATTCCTAAAGTACCCCTCGGGGGGCTTGACTTCGACCGCAAGGAGATTTATTTTCCCTTTGTTCTCCTGGAAAAATTGTTGCTCCCCTTTTGAAGGCTATTTGAAAGGCAGGAGATTTACTTTTTACGGTTATGATATCGCTCTACAAAGGGAAGAGTTTTAGGATTGAATGTTTATAGCCAGATCAGTAATTTATTTTTTTAGGACTTGGCCACGTCGCTCAGTGCACTTTGCAGTGAGGAAGAGAGATTTACACAAAAGGAAATATAATGAATTTAGAGAAGCGAGCGAAAGACTGCTCCAAAATATAATTATATAATAACCATTTTACTTACTTGCGGATACGAAGGACCAGTTTAGTCATTTTGCCGACTGAATTTCTCTTTTGAAATACCGTTTTCGCCTTTAAAATTACCTCTCACGGTAGAGAACTTTCGAAGCCACTTTGCCATGCCACATTAGCTGCAAAACCTTACGAATTATATACCAAAATGCGCCATATTTTAATTATTCCAAGCGTGCGCTGTCCAGCCAACCCAGTTTTCCACGTCCCGATAGTTTCCCGACCGGTCACGCTTTTAAGTAATTACATCAAACCGCTGCCAGAATATGTAAAAATGCTATGCGTAAATCGCGACCAAATAACCCCCGCTTGTTATCAATATTAGATTACATATTTTTCAAGCTATTTTCGGTGGTACATTGAGGAAAGCAATCATACTTTGGGTTAGAACGGCATTATTTCGACCAAAATTGTGTATTTTTAAAGGTCTTTCTTAGAGCGTTCACCGGATGTCGGCGTTATCCGAAATCACATAGGGCAAACATCGCAATCAGACTATACAATACACTATTCGCTTTCTGAGGCCTACATGTTCTACCACGTGTCTCGCAAATGCCTGCGAGGAGAGTCGTTTCCTGACAAAGGAATAGGTACACGCTCTTTGCTGCCAACAAACGCATTCATTGCATTTGAAGATGTTGCTGGATTCACATAATAGACAACACATTCCAAAACTTGGAAAAAGCTTCCCTCACAGTCCATGCTTAAATTTTCGCTCGCCATATGTCATATGATATGAAATTCATGTTCACTAATCTCGAGAAATAACTAAGTTATTTCACGAATCACGGGTTTACTTTTGTTCACAGATCACCAGAAATAAATTCTTTTGTTCACGATTCACGGCAATTAAAAATCGGTCAGTGTAAAGGACTGCGGACTGCGGACTGCGGACCAGGGGTAAAATGAAGACTGTGTGTAAAATGCAGACTGCAGACTAAGAGTAAAACGCAGGCTGGGGTAAAATGCAGACCGAGCATAAACTGTAGTCGTGGAAGGGTTTAAGGGCAAAAAAATCCTGCAAATACATGTAAACGAACCCTGCTTTCACAAATCCATTCCTTTCTTCTCTGGAACGTCGTCGACGACCCGAAAACATTATCGCAATCTTGAACCTTTTTTCCGTCCGAGAGACCTCTGCAGGAAATTTGGATGACCTTTTATAAAAGTATTGGAAATCAAGGTACGCAGACTTAAGCTGTTCAGATGTTCATCGAAACTTCTGGCGAATGTGCAATGCACTTCGACCAGGAAGCGAAGTGTGTAACTGATACCCTACGGAGCCCAGTTAGTGCAAGCTAATTTTTCTCATCAAGTTTCTTTTTCACGACGTCAGGCTCTGGCACGAATTTTTTTTTTCAGCACGACTTTTCTTCGGCACAACTTTTTTTTTGGCACGACTGTTTTTTTTCGGCACGACTTTTGTTTTCGGCACCATTTTTTTTCGGCACGACCAGGACAGGTCACCGCCGACCAATATTGTTGTAGTGGCATGGAGCACATGGTCATTGTAATTCATCAAACAAGATGGTTGATACATTACTGCAAGCAATATCAAAAATACAGATATCATACCTTAAAGATACCACCGACTTTATAAATTTTATTGAAAGCACAAAGGTGAAAAAACGGAAATTTCTTGTTTCGACGGACGTCACAAGTCTTCACACAAAACGAAGGCATTTAAATTGTCTGTAAAGCATTTGAAAACTTCTACAAAGACAACCCTCCTATTCCTACACATTACCTGCGGGAAATGCTTAGACTAATCCTCAAAGAAAATTCTTTCCAGTTCAATGGAAAACACTACCTACAAACCCATTGTACCGCAATGGGCACAAAGACAGCAGTTTCTTTTGCCAATATTTTTATGGCACATATTGAAACAACAAATCTAAGCAGAACCGTTTTTAAACCTACAATTTGGAAACGCTACATTGACGATATCTTTTCCCTATGGGACATAAGTAAACCAGACATGGAAGCTTTCATCGAACAAGCAAACTTACATCACCCAAGTATCAAATTCACGGCCTAAATATCTGACACTGAGACTGTGTTTTTAAACACGGTTGTATACAAGGCACAAGATTCAAGGAAAAATCTATCCTTGATGTAAAGACACACTTTTTAAAAACGGAAACCTTCCAGTACACACATTTCACCTCTTGTCACCCGCCGATTGTTAACAAAGGATTTGTCAAAGGAGAAGCCTTGAGAATGCTATGAACAAACTCCTCAAAAACCACGTTTGAGGAAAATATTTCAAATTTCAAAAAACGCTCGATTGACAGAGGCTACCCACAAACTATGATGGAAAATTTTCTATCAGATATAAAGTTTACAGAGAGGGAGTCTGCACTCCTGAAACACAACAACAAAGAGGAAAAAGAAATTCCCTTTTGTGACACAGTACCAGCCCTCAGTGTCTACTTTAAAGGAACTTTTAATGAAAAAATGGAATCTTATACAAAACCAACCACTACTTCGCCAAATTTTGAAAGAACCACCTATCATTTCCTACAAGAAAGGAAAATCCCTAAAGGATATGCTCGTTAGAGCTAAAATATAAAAGGTTACACAAGGTTTCACGCCGGTATAGATGTGCCGCCTGTCACCGCATTTTCTCACGAAAACAAAAAGTCGTGCCGAAAAAAAAAGTCGCGCCAAAAAAAAAAAAAGTCGTGCCGAAAACAAAAACTCGTGTAGAAAAAAAGTATTGCCGAAAAAGAAAAGTCGTGCCGAAAAAAAGAGTCGTGCCAGAGAAAACTAACATCTTGAAAAAGGAACTTGAGGATAAAAATTATGTGGCACTATAACTGGGTTCCTTAGATACCGGCTAGCTATTTCACCGATTTAGAGAAGAAGGAGCACAAATGTTTAAAAAAAATCTACAGTCTTCATTCTGCTTTTTGCACCCAGCCTGCATTTTACACTCAGTCTGCACTTTTCCCCTGGTCCGCAGTCTGCAGTCTGCGTTTTACACTGACCGAATTAAAAATAGGCGTTCACGGTTCACGGAAAATCCCCTTTCCGACCCTCTTTGAAATATTGTAGTAATCAGCATATGGAGGCTCCAATGAATAACAAATTAAATAGCGTTGTATATGATCTTCGTGTTCCGTGAAAGTTGCAGAAATTCTCTGTGCCCGGAGCAACACAATGAAAAAAGCAAGCTCAATCAGAGCCATTGCAGCTTGGGAGCCCGGGTCTGTGCAACTGGAATGTTCAGTTCCATTGGGCACGTGGAATTTCCGAATATTTCAAACCAGAATTTTTGTTGATACTCATTCCAGGATGGCGGCTGTGAGCCAGAAGAATGAGTGCGACTTTTATAAGGCCCTCTCCACCATCAGAGGGAAAGATGGTAAAACGAAAGGAATTGCGTGTGCAGTTGATGTTGATGGAAAGAAAAAAAAAGACGAAGTTGTTTTAGTAACTTGGAAGGGCTGCATTGGGGAAGGTCAAAATTCACTAAAAACAGTGCACCGCCATCGGCGTAAATTAAAATTTAGGAGGAATACAAATGGAAACATTATCAACTGGAACCTTCAGACGACGGTATCTTAAAGAGAGGAAATTTTTCTTTAATCCGGTGTGCTTCTGGGAGTAACAATGACAAGTGGGGTGTGCGTCTCTCTCTTCGATGTTTGAACGAAGAAGGGCAAAAGACAAACCTCAAGGCCTATACGATACATGGTGATAGTTACCATCCCCTGACATTAACTTACGATGAAAGTACTAATAAACACCATCTTGGCATTAACAAACTGGATCAATACGCGAATCTCATGTTACAAGGAGCTCCAATCATTGAAAACGAAGAATATCTTGTGGGAGTTTTAAAGGATGAAGAAGGTATCTGCACTCCTCTTTTCATAAAAGAAGGAGAACTTGGTGAGTGGCATTAAATAAGAAATTGATGATGATAGTATATATTTGGGCTAACACATTCCTGTGCTTCTGATTGGACAGATTAAAAAACTCCAGCAGGGTTCTAAACAACAGATAAGGGGAATTTAGACACTTCTGGGTTATATGCTTCTGAAATCAGATGATGCATTGGCTCAAGCCTTACGTTCTTAGTTTCCTTCTCTTTTCTTACTTCTTTTATTTGCAAAAAAAGTTTCAAGATTGGGCTTCAAGTATTTTATTTAAAAATGACAACCTGATTTGAGGGCAACCTCGTTCCCATGTTTCGCTCCTACCCGTCCCTGGGAGAGAGAACCTGGAAACGACGTTGATTTGAGGGTATATCCATTCTAGTCAAAGCATTGTGATTTTTAAAAGTCAATAAAAAACTGGGTACATGTAGGAGTGTGTATTAAGTGGGTAGGGAGGGAAGGGGCATTTTAGTCCTAACTAGAAGCAACAGCAAGTGGTAACGCTGCGAGTATGCGCGAGCCGCTGGACGGAAGTTTGTGGTAGTTCTAGATCGCAGCAAATGCAGCAAAGAAAAATGGCGCCTGTTTTAAAAATTACCATTGACTTAGTTATCTGTTCTATCTTTGAAGAGTGTAGAAAAGACAGAGTCTTCAGTGTAATATGCGAGGTTGGTCTCACGGCTAATAAGTCTTTTTTTTTTTTTTTAATATAATTCTTTATTGAAACAAATTGATATTAATACAGCAAATTAGTTACTTACCTACATAATTATAATGTTACAACTGATACTACTAATACTAATAATATAATACAACAAATTAACACTGATATTCAAACAAACTAGAAATGTTTACAAAATATAATGTAAATAATATATTAATTACATACAGAAAGTGGATGCATATTAAAACCTTTAAGAGCGGATGTCAGTAAATATCGACCAGAGGTCTGCAAAAGTGAAAATTCGAAAATTCTCAAAAAAATTCACAAAGTAGCACTAGGTAAGCTATTAACATAAATGTAATTTTTACTTCGATCCGATAATTATTTTCCACGTACGGGGGGGTTATTGGTTTCGCGGCTCTCGGAGCGGGTTTTCCAGGCTCGAGACCATGTGTCACAAAAAAACCGTTTTAAAATTCAAATCCATTGTAATGCGGACAACAAATAACTTATTCAAAAGAGTACATAATTGCACACATTTTAAGTGGTGATTTACTCAGTTTGAACGAAAATGTAATATTTTGGAGATTTTTCATTATTTTCAATATTTTGAACGTTTTCGTTCAATGAAAAAATGGCAAATTTCAAAGCCCCAAATCGTCGACTGGTACCTCGATTTTTTTATCGCGCGTTACGAGAATTTTGCAGTTAATCAAAAAGCAAGCATTTTTGTCAGCTATATTATAAAAGAATTTGCTCATGCTTTTAGCTGTGCGTATATCGAGTTATGGATGCACATGGGAAGTTTGGAGAGCACTCAAGAAGCTAGAGCTGCACTCGGCTTTGGCCTCGTGCAACTCTTACGCATCTTTCGTACTCTCCAAACTTCCCGCGTGCATCCATAACTCGATATACGCACGCTAAGCATGAACAAATTCTTAATTCTCTTCCTAAAATATCGAATTGTTGCCTAAGAATAAAATTTACACTGATCAAACGTCTCTGGCCAATATCATTAACTTCCGGTGAAACTCGGTCGATCAGTTTAAATATCCTAAGAGCATCCAATCGAAACTTGTTGACAGAAAGAATTACACTGAATTTACTATCTGAATTCAAATTTCGCACTATCCCTGGGTTATCTTAACCCAGCTTTGAACAACCCGGCCATGTTTACTAGATTACTGTGTGATAACTCGAATTGCCTCACGTACGAAACACGAAACCACGGGGGTAAAGTCCAACACTTTCACGTCCCAGTTGTCTGGCTGTACATCTCATGCAGATTGGCCTTTCCCAGTAATGACACAGGTAACCCAGGCTCTGTGATAGTACCACAGTACGGTTCTAGTAAATTTACAGTGTTTGTATGAGGTAAAAATACGGTCCTAAAATTTGTAGGAAATACCAAATATAAGTCAGTGAAACTTACCCTGCAGTTAGTTGTTGTTTTCCTTATTGCTGCAACGAAGTTTCGTGATAATTTGTTCAAATTCACTCTATATACAATTATAATATACAAGGTAGCAGACACGAGATGCCATCTTCGCCGCCATGCTCTCATTCAACACAACTTTTTCCACGAAATTCGAACTCCAACAGAAAATAAACATGCCAGGATCGTAGTAATAGGATAGCAGCAGATATGGAACCAATGAAGCTTTCCCAGGTAGAAAAACGAATCCCGCAGACTTTGACAAACTCGAAGGATGTACTCCAAAATGGCCAAGAATATGCTCGCCGAAGTAGCAGCGCCAGATCAACGCGCGGCCAAGAAAATGAGGCCTGGGCACTGTACAAAAAAAAATCCATCCCGGGTGTCCTGGGTTGACCTTTCAAGGGACCGATACATAGCTTCACCAAAGTTAGCCACCCCTGCTGGAAATACATTTGGTCAAGGGCTACGTATCAGAAGCATATAATCAAGAGTTATATGCTTCTGATTTTAAGCTTTTCGCAAAGGTAGACGCAAATCGAAACAGCTAGCGAACATACTCGTTTTTCTAGCTACCAAGTACAACAGAGCACCGAGTTTCGGGTCGGGTCTGAAATAGGGTAGGAAAAAATCAAATATTGTGCTTTGAGATTGCTTCCAAGTTGCAAGAAGCATGCTGCACAATCGGTAACTGCTATTCTGGTAAATTTTGCGCGATCATAACCTGCCATGGAAAATTCGGCATCAAGAACTTAAAGTTTTGTGTTTCGCAAGTAACCTCTTTGAGAATAAAAACATTCTGTTTATTAGAATTCAAATAAATCCCAGATAAATTTCAAACCTTGCGTTGGTATTGGAAGGGGAGGGGAAGATGAATTCTTTCGTAATTCATTTTTCTTCTTTGACCAATCATCGATGCTTTCTATCGTACTAACGTTTCAGTAAACAATCTGCACGGATTTGCGAAATTGCGTGACAGGGGGGAGCTTGTTGCGGTAGTTTCTGTGGATCTCTCCAAAGCGTTTGATGTTATTCAGTATCCACTCCTCCTTTCGAAACTGAGGGCCTATGTTATGGACGACAAAAGTTGTGCCCTAATTAGGAACTATCTCTCTAGCAGAACTCAGAGAGTTAACTTGGAGACACCTTTTCGACCTGGGAAAGCTTCAAGAGTGGGGTCCCGCAGGGGAGTGTGCTAGGTCCCATGCTATTTAACATTTTCATAAACGATCTTTTCTTCCACGTCAAGAAGGCCAAGTTGAACGCTTATGCGGATGATCATCAGGTATACTACTCCCACATCGATCCGGCAGCTCTGGATGCATGCGTATCTCATGATGTTGGGGTGGCCAATCAGTGGTACCATGAAAATGGGATGTTAGTTAATGAGAGCAAGCACCAGTGTCTAATCCTCGGTGATACGGAGTATGGTTTTTCCTTCCCAGTAAAGGACACGTTAGAGATTTTTGGAGTGGAAATAGATAATAATCTGAATTTTTCTAAACATATATCAAATGTATGCAAAAAGATTAATAATCAATTTAATGTTATGTTGCGCTTTAGAAGACTCATACGCAAGGAAATCTTATTCAAACTTTACAAAGCGTATATTTTACCTCACTTTTATTATTGCTCCTCTGTCTGGCACTTTTGTGGAACGCGCGATGCGGATAAGCTCGAAGCTTTAAATAAAAGAATACTTAGATTTATACTTGGAGATTACTCGTCTCCATACAACACTCTTCTCTCAAAAGTCAGCTCTACTTCTTTGTTTAACAAACGCATTCAAAATTTCCTCATTCTGTTATATAAGAGTTTGTTTTTCACTCATTTTCCTACTTATATGAAGAATATGTTTTCACTCCGGTCCTCTTCCTATGATCTTCGTGGCAACTACATTCTTTCACTAAGTAAACCTAAAACAACTACCTATGGTCTTAACTCCTTTTTTTACTTTTCAGCTAAGCAGTGGAATGCACTGCCGGACTTTTTTCGTACCAGTTTTTTTGCAGACTTTAAGACTAAAATACAGGATGTTACCTTCATGTAGATTCTTTTTGCCTGACAGACTTAAACTTAAAATTGTGAATTGTAAATGATATTTTCTTTCCTTGCATTTAATGTATATATATATTTTCTATATAGTTTTTATGTAGTGTCAGCTCGAAGATATTAGCTTGTTAGCTACTATAAAATTCGAGTTTAAATAAAGTTTTATGTTATGTTATGTTCAATCCCAGTTTGAACCTTTCGGCGCTTTCGCCTCCATTCAGACCGTTTGCAGTACAGAATGACTTATTGATGCCAAATTTTCCCATTTATTAGGTGTCTTTCATTGGAAGGCGTTTGGTAAACATGTGTCACAAGCGGGACAGTCTTGATAATTGTTTTCATGTTTCTTTGAAAATTCTAGATCCAGGAATACAAGATGTCGCTTCCCTAACGCTTTCCTTGGAAGGAGAGGATACGCATGATAAAGATGTGAAGGGTGAAATATCTGCAGGTCCAACTGCACCCGGTGAGCGTGCAATTTTGTCGTAGTTCTTAATTTGTTCATGCCTCGTCCAAGATGTTGAAATCATGGATTAAACGATAGCAGACTATAAGCAATGCAATTGAATCAGTGATCAAAAGTAACTCAGATTCCCTTTCGTACTGAATATTCCACTCTGATTAGTTTTTTACATTTTAAGTTTGAGATGTGTCAACGTCGTTTTAGAAATGACATATTGTGAATAGTCATTTGATTGATATCCGGCCCTAAGATGAACATTTCTTTTGTTTAAGACAATTAATTGGGCATTGACAGCCAGGTGGGCTCGCTTTGCTAAGTTGGCTCGGTGTTTTATGGAGGTGTATACAGTTCAACCCGGTATTACATGAGGCGAGCTAGCCTGGGACAAGCCAGGTTTTGGCACAAC